GGCTCGTCTTTTTTTTTTCTTTTTTTTTTGTGGCTCGTCTTGCAATCGCACACTGGCCTTTAAAAATAAGTTCAGATTCTTCAGAAACACTTTCACATGTCAGTTTTCAAGATTCTGCGCTTTGAGAATCCAAAGGCGGTTTCTTTTTTTTTTTTTTTTTTTACCTTGTTCTTTTTTACAAAAAAACTTAAAAAAACGGAAATTTATATTACAAATCTGGGAACCGGGCCCCTGCTGTCCCTTACAAAAGGAGGAGGTGGGGCCCCCTGAACGAGGCATCACCGATTCAGCATCCAGGGTCAGAGGTCAGAGGGGCAAAGGCAACTTCCCTCTTTTTTTTTCTTTTTTTTTTCTTTTCACTACCCTGATTTTTATTTTTTTTATTTTTTTTTTTTTATTTTTTTTTTTTAAAGGGTGACGGCCTTGAGATATTATCAGTGAGCTGACCGGCCCCAAGCAATTCATTAGTAGTTGGTTTTACTCGTCAAGTTCCATCATCTGGATTCGAACACAGGTCTGTATTTCAACAGTTCATGGGTGTACCCACTGAGCTAGGCTCTTGGGTACTACCCTGAATTTTTCCTTTCTGAGCACAGATTGAAATGGAAAATCCAAAATCCAAATGGCCAGAAATAAAGGCCAAACTTTTTTTTTTTTTTTTTTTTTTTTTGAACCCCCCCCCCCCCCCCGGAGTGCTAGTGGTGCTGACGAGATCAGTCACCACTAGCACCCGGGGAGAGGCTCTGTCTATTGGTGGGGAGCATCACCTGCTGGAAAACGGGTCCAGCGTCCCTTTACAATAAGAACAGAGAAAGGCCAAACTAGAATGACCACCTTTGGAAAGTGGGACCTTTCACGAACGCTGCGCCGCACTGCCCACCTGCCCTGACCCTGTCAATGCAGAATCACATCATTTGTAAGGCTGACTTGTTCTCCAACAGGCGAAGACACGGTGACCTGAGTATATGGGGTGGCCATACATCCATATATGTATCTGACCTGAATACTGACATCATGATAATGATCCCTGGCACCTGAACAATGGCGTGGACTGCGTGGCTCGATCCTTGTTTTTTTTATCCTTGTTTTTTTTTTTTTTTTTTTTTCAAAACACACGCCCCCTGCAGTGCTAGTGGCGCTGATGAAGCAGACATGACTAGCACCCGGGGAGGGGCTCCATCTATTGGTGGGGAGCATCACCTGCCGGAAAACGGGTCCAGCGTCCCATATACAGAGTGAATACCAAAAACTGAGAAATGAAGCCTGCCAGCATTGATTGCTCTGTGGCTCGGTCCTTTCACGTCCAGTTCTTGGCGTTTTCTTGCTCACCGGCATTCTGAAACGACCAGCTGCCATCTGGCATCTGCTAGATGCAGCTGCACTTACTGACAAGCTGCATCCCGCAGTTTTTTTTCACACAAATTTTAGCAATCTGTGGATGTTACATATCACAGCAAAAGACTCCCTAATACCGCCAAAGAAATGAAGTAAACCTGCACCTGCGCTCGGCCCTTCTGTCCAGCTGCTCAGGCCAAGAGGAGAGATCCTCTCCCAACATGCTTTTTATCTACTCAGCTCCTGGGTGCCCTCCCCCAAGTCTTAGGGGATGGCCACACCACTCTCCAATTGTGCAAAATGAGAATGAACTTCCCCCTAGAACATGGCCAGATGCACCCACCACATTTTTGTCTTTTTCACATTTAGAGAGTGGTGCGGCGATGCCCTTAGTCTAGCACTTTTTTTTTTTTTTTTTAAACATCATATAAAAAGACGAGGCCGGGGTCCTCACAGTCTACTTGGAAAGAAGGTGCTGGGAGCATTACCCAGTTTCGCGTTGTCAAACCTTCTGACTATCTAGAGTAACTGTGGGGACCACTTGCCCTCCTTAGAGGGCTGTCTGAAACTGAACTTGAGGTAGCTAGGGCTGAGATGAGCGATGATCCCACAATAGCTCCGATTATCCGGACCCAAGCGAAAGTACTCGATCATTTGGGAAGTGGTCCCACAACAGTCTGTCTGTGTCATCGAAATGGACCCAAGCGAAAGTACTCGACCATTTGGAAAGAAAGGAAAGAAAGGAAAATCCGGCGTCTACTATGGAGTCTGACCTTTTCCTCTACGTAACCCAATCCACCATGATGTTTGTTCTAATAGGCTGTTTAAACCACCAGTACTTGGGCACTGCGCGCCCCCGCACTGCGAGCCGGAGGTTGAAGCGACACGGGCTGTGGATTCGATTTATCCACGGCCTGCCGGCTGCGAAATTTTCGTAGCGTTAACGCTAAGGCCGGCCCCAAGTACTGGTGGTTTAAACAGTGAAAATAGAGCCCGAGGGCAGGATTTCTTTTGCAGGAAGATCCTGTCTCGTCGAGCCATCCAAATTACTGTAAGCTATCCTGTTACACTGTTTATACAAGGAGGAGTCTCGAATCCTGCTTGTAAAGATGAAATCTTTCTGCCACGTGGAGGATTCACCATGTGCCTGTGTCCACATATCCTATCCCAGAATCCCCTTGCGATGATGCATTCCCACCACAGGTGAAGCGAGTCGTCTAGTGAGAGGCTTGTGGGCATGCTGTGCATTTCGTGTCTATATCCATACCCTTTTCTGAACACCACAAGGCGGTTGGGGTGCACGAATGGAGGTGAAGCCATTGTAAGCCCCCCCCTCCGCCTTGGTCTCCAGCGCACTGAGTATGAGGTGTATGAAGAAAGACACCCACTTAGCATTGATGTGTTGGAGCCCCAGCGCCCTGCACCTGCTGTGCCATGAGCAAGAGAGGGCTGTCTGTATTGCCTGTCCTTGTGATTGAAGATTGTAGCCGATCTTCGGTGTGTATTCCGATAGTGGAATCTCGAAGTAGAGCCTGTGCTTTCCGACATTTTCCATCCCATCTTCAGCACATCTCTACCTTCCAGTCCTCCATTGGTTTCTATCCCCCTGTACCACCATAAAGCTGTTACCCCCTCCTGTTGGACCCTATTTCTGTGTGACTCTTATCTGCTGCCATCCCTGTGGAGATTTCATCACAGGCTCTCTCCCCCTCTGTTCAAACCTTGAGTTCACAAGCTGCCATTCTGTGACCTCCACCGAGCCATCTCGTTTGACCTTTTCAATTCTGAAGATCGAGGAATCATCGGTGGGGTCCTTATACCACTGAAATTCGGAAACTGGTTGCTTCTGTTGGCTCAGGAGACCGATCCACGAGGCAGGGATAGCTTGAGTGAGTTCTTGGCGGTGTTTCTCCACTCCACGTTGTGTAGGCCTGCCTGGTAACTCGCTCCTCTCTCTCTCTCTCTCTCTCTCTCTCTCTCTCTCTCTCTCTCTCTCTCTCGAGAGAGAGAGAGAGAGAGAGAGAGAGAGAGAGAGAGGAGTTCAGATTACTTCATCAGGTTCACAGCATGACAGTGTTCACTCTCACCTTCGTCGGAGTCTGAGCGAGATGAGTGAAAGAAGTANAGAGAGAGAGAGAGAGAGAGAGAGAGAGAGAGAGAGAGAGAGAGAGAGAGAGAGAGAGAGAGAGAGAGAGAGAGAGTCGTATAGACAGTAAGATCATAGTAGAGCTGCTACATTTTGGTTGTTTTGATGAGTGGAGGCGGTATAAGTTGGCCTTTGTTTATAGAGAGACTGCAGTGTCAGTGTGTTCTGTTCTCATTTGGTGTGCTGTCGGCTTTATACTTCTGTTTTCGACTTTGCTCATATATGCCTGTTCCGCTTTTGAGTCTTTTGCTTCTTGGAAATTTGTATTCCCATTGATTACTTCCTTCCACATACAAGTGTAGTGAATACATGTACGAGTACTGCTGCATATCACCACTTGGTCTTGCACGTGGACAAACAACGGCGCCACTGACAGAGCCTCTTGCTGAATCCAAAACCTGTGCGCCTTACTTTCACGAGAAGAATTCTGCCATTCTCCAGCGAGCAAAAGAAAAAAAGAAAGTCTATCTGTTGTAGCATAGAGTAGACGCAAGAGCAAACATACTATCTCTTGCAGGATAGCATAGACGCAAGAGGAAAGAGACTATCTGTCGCAGCATAGCATAGACGCAAGAGGAAACAGGCTATCTATCTGTTGCAGCATAGCATAGATGCAAGAGGAAACAGGCTATCTGTTGCAGCATAGCATGGACTCAAGAGGAAACAGGCTATCTGTTGCAGCATAGCATAGCCGCAAGAGGAAACAAGCTCTCTGTTGCAGCATAGCATGGATGCAAGAGGAAATAGCTGAAGCATAGATGCAAGAGGAAACAGCTGAAGCATCGAAACCACGGAAAGAAATGGTCTTGGCAGCGAAAACAGTTTTGTGCCTGGTTGACTGAGTGTGTAGAGTGGGGTCTTAAGGCTGTGATGAACTATTCCCTGGAAACCACCAGAGTCTGCTACCATTGGCTCTTAACGGATGCTTAACAGGGCACACTGAAAAAGCTCAGCCTGTGGCTCTTAAAATAGAAATCTTTTGCGTCAGACGCAGGTCAGTAGAAAAGGGTGTCCAAGGGGAGTGGATCACGAGTGAGTTCATGCTTGCAATTCTTTAGTTAACGTGCAAGGAGCCGCAGCGATACCCTCCTAAGAACAAAATGGGTCTCCACGGAAGGTGGTTTCAAACACACAGGGCCAACGAGAAAAGAGAGGACGACGAATAAACAAGGGGGGGGGAGAGAGAGAGAGAGAGAGAGAGAG